CCACGGCGGGACCTAGCCACTTCCACCTAGACATTTCTGGGTCAAAACGTCTCGCATGACCAGGACCCTGTGGCTTTGCGTGGTTGCGTAAAGCACACAGCACAACCATGTGATCTACACGCATGTGTGGAATAGCCACATGGGCCTGTGTGCACAGGCGCGGCCCAGCCTTTATAAGCTGGCGCCATGATTCCTGGTCCCACTTCACTCACAAGTCTTTCCGCAGGCCTGTGCACATCTGTCCCTCTCCTTTATCTTAATAAAACTCTTTTTAGTGGATTTCTGTCCTGGTTCATGACATTTCCTCACAGGGTAAGAGCGCCGCAAATAAACCAACAATTGTGACCCCAGAACTATTTTAAAGCTTAGGAATCTTACAATGGTGACTTGTTTGCAACACTGAGAGCTTTTATATATTGCCCACTAGTCCAGACTTTGGACTGATGCAACTGTGTGAATGAGTAACAATCCAAGGCAGGATTCTTGAGGGCATAAGCTGGGCTTACACAGTGAAGCTCTCTTGTGTTCTTAGTTTGTTACATGTGGCTTCTTCACGGTGGTGGATATGGTCTCCTGGGCGAACACTAACCCAAGCGTTCCCTCTTCTTCTTGCTCATCCCTCTGCCCCTTCTGTGAGAAGGGATCTCACTCTGTTTGCTAAGCTGGCCTCATACTCTGGGTTCAAGCAATCCTGCCTTAGCCTCTTGAACTGCTGGAACTAGAGGCATGTGCCCAGCCTCAAACTCAGAAGAAGATTGAGAAGTAGGCCTTAGTTCTTCCATGACTGTTCCATATCCCAGCACACAGGCAGGAGAGCTCTGTATTTAATTTCCTCACTAAAGAGGAAAGTTAAAAGCTGTCACTCAGTTCTTGTGACTCCATACATCATATCATGTAGTCTGCACACTATACAACAAGTAGTCTTACTCTGCTTACCAGCCTCCAGGAGCACCCTGGCAGGAGTTCCCTCCCCAAAAGGAAGACAGCCAACTTTATCTATGGCTTGAGAGAATTTGGTATTTGTT